TGTCTCGTGGTGTAGCTAAATGTATTGGCTTGAAATAAGTGTATAGTTTCATTGGACATTGTTGAACTCGTCCTCGAACGAACTTATTGAGTTGGCTTCGTTACATACCTTTCCTTTAAAATAGCACACTGACACTGTGTGTGACCATATGTCTTGCATTCCTTTTGCCTTGCAAGCCCCTGAAGCAGGGATACGCTTGCTAAACAATAAACAATAAATGCTTTTAATAACAAAACAGGATTTAAACAGATCACATGCATTGATTACCCCAATCTCATAAAGTCAGATACAGGTTCTCGCTACCGCTGAGGAGATCTCATTACATGACCGACCAATGAAATGACCAACAGGAAGTCTACTTTGGCCACAAAGAAAGCTGCTTTCTTGAGCTTTGTGGCACTAGTTTCAAACAGGCGACTTCCATTCCAGACTATTCTTTCAAAAAGTTTTGAATCAGGCAACAGTAGTTTTGTGTTAAGCTTTAGAGGTTGCATGATTAGAAACCATATGCCGCTAACAATGTTATAACAATATGAATATTTCCATAATCATTTTTTATTACAACATGTTTGAATCGTTATAAATCGTGAGGTTGTCCAATTTTCGATCTCGAACGTTGATACAACTTAATTTCGTTTATCCGACATACCCGTGTCGGATTAACGGGACTTGACTGTAAAAGGCTAGGTTATATTATGGTTATATATGTTATATTTGGGACAATACTTTCTTAGTCCAGTACATATCAACTCAAACAAGTAAGCCAGACGTTGTGCAATGAAAGACGAATCGGTCTTTTTCATAAAATTACGCGCACGGGCACCTGTATATCTCACACCTTGTGTCACTTAATTGCCCAATGTGATCAATGGAATGTATATGGTACGCAAACTCCACTTAAAAGCTTAGTCTTTGTAAGTCATCATAAAAAATGTGACGAATTGAAATGTAACAAAGAGACAGAAAATGGGAAATGAGAAAGAAACCAACTAATCTGTAATGTTGTGGATAATTGCGCCAATGAATTGGAATACGCTCGCATGAATTCGTACGATAAAATAGTAAGCAGTAAGTCCTTATGACATTCTGAAGAGTCTGATGAAACCTCTCTACAGCGCATTGAGGTTCAGGATGATATGCACCAGACTTAATCTGAGTTGTGCCTAACTGGTGGTTGGTTTTCCAACATAGCCTCTTGAAAAACACCTGCGTGTCGGTTTTCATGACGCATGTGGTAAATGGACCAAGTGGATTCCCAACGGGTACGCAACAAATGTGAAGACAGATTTATACAATCACATAATTGGTATAATGTCTTTCATGTAACAACACCGTTAGACTCGTAATAGATTTCTCAAATCATTTAATTATATATTTAGTAATGAAATACTTTGTTTACTTAAACACATAACGTATAAACAAACGCTAAGCCATTGCTGGTTCGCCTCAATGATACACACATTCAGATAAGAACATGCATGACAAATAGAATGTTTACTTTTTTTTTTAAACAGGATGTGTTTATCATCTCACTACCTGAAATCGTTTTCACTTCTGGCCATAAAATATCGACTCCGAGATAAACACAAATAAGGGAAGCCGTATATCAATTATTGATTTATTGACTCATTGAAAGTAGCTACAATGTGGGTTGCATCGTTTCGATGTAAAAGCCAAAGCAATCTAGGACAAGGTATTGAAGCAATGTATACGATGTGGGATTATTAATGAAACTAAAGACAAATATATAAACATTGACATACAAATAAAAGCGACAAAACCATTTGCATAATCACTATATTAACAATGATATATTGTATTGTTGTCAATGTCAATCTCACTCAGGGCCCTTTTTACTCTCAGGTATACAATCTAGTTTAGACCCTGATGAAATAATCGACATCAACTATAGTGAAGAACAGTTATGGATGTCAACATCTTTATTATGAGGAACACAACGATACACATATTCAAAAATTAAAATGCATAACAAATTGTTTATTTTTCCTGTCAAACAGGATGTGTTTCTATTGACCTGAAAACGTTTTCACTCGTGGCCACAGAATACCGACTCAGATTAACATAAACAAGGCAAGCCAAACATCAACAAGAGTTTGCCACTAACGTGGTTATATCCCCCGCCCCTGTTGCAGAATTTATGACATAATTAAATCTAAACAAACCCTAACCTTTTTTAACCTAGGTGGAACTTGTCATGGCAACTTAAAAAAAAAAGAGAGTTTGGAACCTAACTCCATCTTGTTGCCATGGAAACGTAAAAAAAAAAAAATTCTAAAATTTCTAAAAAGTAAAAGGCACTAGTTCAGCATGTACCTGACAGACCTGCAAAGTTTGATGAAAAAATATTGAACGGTTCATGAGTTATGTTCCGGAAACGTGACGTGACGGACGGACGGAGCCTGTTTCTATATCCCCCGCCAACTTTGTTAGGTGGGGGCTAATTATTTACTTACTGACTGATTCAACTGTAGCTATAATACGTGTTTTACTGTTTTCTTTGTTACCGTCCAAGCCATGTAGGACTATGCATTAAATCATTAATACATATACATAAACATTGACATATAAATATTGCGACAAGACCATTTGCATTATCACTATATCAACCATGCTATAAGTATTGTTGTCAATGTACGTATGTGTGCAGACGTTTCATTCTATCTCGTTTAACTGCACGGTTTAAAATATAGTTTAGACCTTGATGAAATCGGACATCAACTATAGTGATAAAGTTAAATCATTTGAAACTCATAAATATTTGTTCCGCCAGAAACTTACACCGCTTGGAAGACATACAATATTAAATTCCTTATCCTACTAGAACCAAACCTCCTGTTTTCTTCTATACCTCATCCACCAGATAAATGTTTTAACTTTGTTTGGAAACATAAGCCTGATAAAATAAGAAAGAAACAAATAATAGTGAAACAAATCAAAGAATTAATCAGCTGAATGGTTTCCAATAATAAGACGATGTTACAGGAATAAATCATAACGGTGTGCGGTGTTTGAATACCAAAGTAGAATTCGTTTAAATTCGTTTAATATAATGGAACTAAAAGGTGATAATTTGAAACAAAATTAAGAAACACCTTTTATTGTGATTTTATTATAGCTTGGTTTGACTTCACTGACGGTATTCTTCCACACACAATGAGGAAATTCTCGGTCACAAGATTTGGCCCAACCACATCAGAATCAGGAAAGTAATTTTTTAATGAAAGATGGAACGTGAAGAGAGTCCAGTTCATTGACCTTTAATAGATCAAAATTGCCATTTTCTAACCTTTTCGAAATTCAAAGAGATTTATGATGTCAATACCAAGTTTGTAAATTGTAAATTGGAATTAGAATCTATACCACAAGTGTTTTGGGTGTGTAGAACTATCCTTCCACTTTGGACACACATGGAAAGTTGGCTTCTTGAAAAAAAAAAAGAATTGAAAAACGTTCTTAACATGGGGAAGATACCTCTTGGTCTCCCGGGAAGAAATAATGACCCTTTACGTGTAATAGATATATACTCTTCAAAAAAAGAAACTTGACACTGACTTTCAAAATGTAATATAATGCGATTGTTTCAAAATAGGACACAGAAACCATAATTGAAACACTGTTTGAAGATCAATGTACACAATGTTCAAAACATTAATCGTGTCACCTAGACAGACACACGTACACGATACGGTTAATGTCACAGGGGTACAGAAATGTCAGTATTGGTTGTGCCCACCACGTGCATCAATCACTGCTTGACACCGACGACCCATAGATGCAATCAAGTTGTCAATAGCACGCTGTTGGATGTGCTGCCATTCATGCTGAAGTGCATCAAGAAGCGCCGGAAGTGTTTGGGACGGTGGATTCCTTCTGCGAACGCGTCGATCCAACTCGTCCCACAGATGCTCAATCGGGGACAAATCTGGTGACCGGGCTGGCCAAGGTAATGTCTGGATGTTGTTGTGCTGTAAGAAGTCCTGACAAACACGTGCAATATGCGGTCGAGCGTTGAACGCCATGAACGGTGACGTGCGGAAGAACGTAAGGCTGTAGGATCAAGTCTCTGTAACGCACACCTGTCAATGCACCTGCCACATGCACGAGAGGCGTCCTACCACCGTGATGAATTCCGGCACATACCATGACACTCCCGCCACCAAATGGGACAACCTGCTGCACACAGTTGGGGACGTAACGTTCACCCCGACGTCTGTAGACACGTGCGCGCCCATCAGCACGTGTGAGTAGGAAACGGGACTTGTCAGTAAACAGTACATTTCTCCACCTTGCACGTGCCCGTTTAACCCTCTGTTGGCACCAACGCAGACGGTCCGCCAGATGACGTGGGGTCAATACATGACGTCGAACAGGTCTTCGTGCAAAAAGTCCAGCCTCCCTCATTCTGTTGCCTACCGTTTGATCTGATATTCTGCGTACCCCAGGGATCTGTGTGGTTGAAGAGGTGGCCATGGTAGTGCGGTCTCGCAGCCGGATGTATCGATCTTGTACTTGGGTTGTCAACCTTGGTCTTCCTGACCTTGGTCTGTCGTCAACTCTGTTGGTGTTGTTGTATCGGGTCCACAGTGCGGAGATTGTCTGTCTGGATACGCCAAAGTGCCTGGCCACTTCTTGCTGAGTTGCTCCAGCTTGTAATCTCCAAATTGCGTTGTTCCGTTGAGCTGCATTCAGTCTTGGCATTCTGTCACCGCCTCTACTGCCGTTATAAGGACTGTATGAACAGCCGTTGATGTGGATTTTAATACCCATTCAGCAGGGGGGCCTGCATGCCTAAATGCAGGATCATGTGCAGCACGTTTTTCACAGGCGGTTGCGTTTGGATGAAGCTGTAAAATTGATCCCCAAACGCTACGTTTATGTGCTTTGCATGTGTTTTCGCGAATTATAGACACATCATCTTTCTGTTTGACTTATTTGGTTCTCATTTAATGTAATTATTTTAGATATTTGGCAAAAAGTGGTTTTACGTCTGTGTCAAGTTTCTTTTTTTGAAGAGTATATTTGCAAAAAAGGCTCATTTACAAAATAAACAGCAAAGACTGCCAATGTTAAAAAATATTCAACATAAACTGTCCGAATACTACAATGTTACTAATGTGCAGTTGCCATGACCAACAATACTGATCAATTCTACAAGTTCAACAATGTCACGTGCCCTGCATGTGACGGTGAGAACGGTCTCCATGCAATAAAAATGTAAAGGAAAATTATGCTATCACTCACTCATTCACTCACTCAACCACCCACACACCAACGCAAGCAACCAACCACCCAAACACACGCACCCCACCCCTCACTCACTCACTCACGCCTAACTCACTCACTCACTCACACACACCCCTCACTCACATACCCATACACATTCAACAAGGCGTTTCCCGAGCGATGTGCCTAGTGCTGTCATTATGCACTATAACTTCAATACCCTTCTGCAACCTTTACCGATAAATAAACTAGCGCCTTGCCAAATAAACAACGGTATGATACTTTCAGTAATGTGAGTTCTCCAAATACAAACAAACAGTGTATTCTGATTGGTGTATTGCATATAGCGATGTTTCGATGTAGATTCTTACACCATAGATTCACTGTCAGCTGCCCAGCAAAACCACTGGACCAAGAATGTACATGTACTTCTACACTTATCACATATTACGTACAGAAACATCTACTATTTATATTTAGTACTCACATACAGGACTACTGATAATGGTCACAATATCCCACGGAGACACTGAACGGCATCGGGCCAGAAACATACATCTGGACCACAAAATCGATGCCTAGCATACAGTCACATCACATCGAAGAAAACTCACATGCAAGAAAGCTGTTTTCTACAAAACATGTCCATGTATATCTATGATCTACAAGACAGCGATGAAATGAAGGTGTCTTTCAGAGGGTTGGCTTTGTTGTGTTTGTCCATGTAAGACACCCTCAATGACGACTTGGATGGTCCCCAGGAGCTGTCAGGTTTCAAGGACTTCTGGAATCTCTGTAACATGGCATAAGAGCAATCTGTGCACAAATTGAACTTACAAATTGATGACAATATATATATTTGGGTTGTAAGAGAAATAACTCAACATTTGTAAGGGAAATAACTCAACATATCTAAAATTTAGATCACAACAAAACGCCGAATACATCTTCGGAAATGTTTCATTACTTTCATTCATCATGTATCAACAGCGAGGGACGACGTAGGCGTGTTGTGCAGTGATATGGAAACACGACTGCGCTGTCGTTGCAATATGGAATCCTCTGGGTGCCACAGAATTATGCATTGTTCCTGAAAGTCAAAATCGTAACCATGATCACCCCTGTCTCGCAGCTTTAACTTCGTGTAAGTCATACTTTACACAGATCTACGGATTGTGAAATATGGTGAGATTGGTAAAGTTGTTAAAGCGCTTCGCGACATTTTTCTGTCATGTTTGAACTTTTGAATCGAATGATGGCGAATTTTGATTATGCCCCCATGTGCCTGTTTTAGTATCAGACAGACAATTTGAACAGAAATCTGATCAGATTGGTCAAACAGATTTACCTTTGCCCAATGTACTGTTATTGACGTATTGCCCGCAAAGGAAGTCAGACAGAAGATCGACAGAAAATACTCAAATCCTAAATGTGTAAAGACAGCTGTATAATATCAAGGTTGTACAGGTTACGTTTTTTTATATGTTTTATACATGAAATGAGTATGCCTAACCAAATTACTCCTGTAGCGTGTATTACCGTGTGAATGAATTTCGTCGCAAAGGGAGATTTAAAAAAAGTTTGGCCACGATATCTAAACATGGGTCGACGCCATATTGTAAACAAATTGTGTCACGGTCGGTTTCACATATGGTACCTCGGCCCCAGTTCCTGTCGATGATACACAAAACTAAAACTACTGAAACATCGGCAAAATGATGACAGCAATACTTTTTCGCATTTAAGTAAACCGCTTGTGTTGTTACGTTCGATTTCGATTCGTTGTTTCTTTCATTGCACAACGCCAGGCACCTAGCCTTACTTGTTATTGGAATGAGTAATCGTTGGAAAGACGTAAACAAATTTTTAAAAGAAACTTATTTTTTGTCTCACATATGCATCATGATACGCGCACATACGAAATACATCAATAATTATGAAAATTGTTTTAGAACATTCCTAACTGTAAATTATTGCACTAAATATGTTTATGTTATCCGGTAACAATCATGAGAGGGAGACACGCCCTGTCCAAGACTGGTTTACCTTCCCTAGAGCGCTTGCGCTTGCGCTCCTTGCCTGCAGCCGCTAGGAGGATAAGGACAGGGTACCACGCTAGCTCTATCCGTCCCCATACAGCATTTCGCTGCCTTGAAACTTTAACCCCTTTCTACGAAGCGGGTGTGTATGTCGAGAGGGGCGGGGACGGGCTAATAGGATATCGCTATGCGGGAAACGTTGACCCAGTTTTCGTGTAGCGAGATATTAGCACTTTTGAACAGTGTGAACAATTGACGTGTCAGGCTACAGGAGTAAACATATTACCATTAGGGAGGTCACTCTCATAGAGACCTATGGTTTTGAATTTTAACAACATTTGCGTGTCTCTTCTTCACCATGAAGTAATATTACAACAACGTAGCTATTACTTTGAAAATATTTATTATGAAACATATTAATTACTTTACCACTGTAGAAATATCAATGTCAACAGTATCATTTATACCACTATGATTGGGTCAACTTTTTACCCCATGTTCCTTGACAATAACAGATGTTTCTGGAAGTCATTGTTGTGAAAACATATTACTAATTTTGCCTTCATAATATGTTTGTTTGTACTTTTATATTACATTCACATTTAAACTGAAATGTGCCATATTGTCATTCCTGATTCTGAAAGTACCACATGCAAATTACAAATTTTGGTATCTGCTGGGTTAAACATGTGCGTTGTATGACAGTGAAGGTACTTGCATCAATAGGTAGGTATGCTACAACATTTCTTTGCACCGTGTTAATTCTCTGGATCAAAGTTGTCTTGTTGAAACTGTGATATTGGCGCTTAATAAGTTTGCTGAAATAGTATTTTCCGTGTATTTAATGTACATGTAACGTGCTGTGATTGTAGATAATTGATAACTAGCCATAACCGCAAATTAAACGCCACCCGCAGTATCATTGCATGAAAAGTTGTCATTTAAATATCTGGGTAACTTTTGTGTTCTAAGTTTCTAAAATTTAACATTACCTTGTCCAGAAAAATGAAATTTGATGATAAAAAACAAAGCAGTTGACAATAAAACCGATCGCCCAAACGCATCACGACAACGGCTATGATAACCCGATGTACGTCAGCTCCGTGCAAATTGAAATGCACATGCGTTCCCCAATGTCTTGCCCTATCAAAATCCACCCAGATCGGATAACATTCATTCGTTATTGAATTGCTACCACATACCAAGATTGACAAGAAAACAGCGACTCCAAGCCCTTGGACGATTGCAAGCTGGGCAAACCGCCAGGCAAGTAGCCAATGCAATTCAAGTTGACGTAAGGCTCCAGCAACGGTACCAGACCACCAACACTACAGATGACCGACCACGTAGTGGAAGACCAAGGGTCACCACCCGACGTCATGATCGTCAGATTGTGCAACAGCATCTTCAACATCGCTTTGTCACTGCTGTGGAGACTTTTCGACAGACCATGGGGACACACCAGCAACACATTAGGGCGGACACCGTGCGTCGACGATTGACCTGCCGTCAGTCCCGATTTAAATCCAATTGAGCACCTGTGGGACGAGACTCAAAGACGGCTGAATGACGTCCGACAAAGGCCGACAACTGCAGCTGAACTGCGTCAGTGTGGGCTCAAGTGCCCACGGCCTTCATCAACCGCCTCATCCATTCCATGTATCGACGTTGCACGGCATTAATCAATGCATATGGCGGACACACCAGTGTTGTGTTTCACTTTACGGATATTTGACACTTTAATTTCAACCTTGACGATCAGTTTTGCCAAGTTTCATCTTTTTAATATGCCTCAAAGTACGTTTACAGTGTTTGGACAAATAAGGTTTCTCATACGAGTACATCTATCCATAGTGACGTTTCGGTATATATTGGAATATATTATCGCAACAAGATAGGGTTCGTATTTCCAATATTCTGCAATGGATATTAGATCTAATTAATATTAGACTAACAAATTATTGATGTAGACAGTAACCACTATCACGTCAAACAGATAAATGGTATCTGACAGGCCCCAGTGCAGTAATCGCAGTGCTTTCGCTCGTTAGATACGTTCTGAAACAACTCGTTGTAAGATAAATGGTATCTGACGGACACTCGTGTAGTCACAAAGTCAGCGATATAACCCGTGCCAATTAGCACTTGTCAGAGATGTACACAAAGTATGTGATCTAGAGTACCAGTTGTCAGATTTTCATTTTTGGTGAAGTCTTGGTGGCTAAGTGGGTTAGATCGCTGACTTTGTGTGCTGGCGTTTAGGTGCCTCACTTTGGCAGTGTTGGTTCGAACCAACGGGACTCGACCCCCCAAAATACGAGAATTTGTACTTTACTCAGAAAGTGTTATTCCAAATATAACATTTGTTACATTTGACCACCTTCTAAATGCCATTGTGCGTTCAGTTAGACGAACTGATCTCTCAAAGTAGGAGAGTGTAAAATCTGAATTTTGCTTCGTTTACATATAGTGCAGTTTTACGGGCATAATGTTCGTTTCCACACACAATTTATTTCGCTTGATTTCATCCAGATAATTTGTATTGGTGAAAAGGCGATTTGTCATTTGATTCTAAAAGTACAGTAATTTTGCTTTGCTAAAAATGACAATGGATAATATCACAGAAGAGGGAATTTCCCCAATTCAAAACCTTTCGTGTGCGTGATGTATTATGAATTATGAATTTCAGTCAACTTCGAAGTGAGGGTTGAAGATACATATATATATATCGTCGGATCACATGTTTTCGGACATCAGACGTTATTAGACGGCCAAGGTTTATCGCGAAACATTCCCGCTACAACGAGGGTTGTGGTGTCAACAGACATTGTAAATATTTAGATGATCGCTTGATTTCTAGATAAAGCTGTTCTTTGATAAGTGAGTGAGATGTTTTTTTATGTTTCTTACGATAAGCGAATATGTCCTAGCCCCCTGGATGCCGGAGGGACATATCTTTCCCTCCTCTACAACCCTCACTTTGAAGTCGAAAAAAAAATCAAGATACATCACCCACACAGTTGTGAATAAGGTACGAACATCTTAACCAAAGCCCGCTGTGATACAAGTGATCCAAAAAAGGGGAGTGGGGTTACTCAGTGCATGATGGAGGGCAGCTCAGTCACAAAGAACAGTATTTTACCTTTTTAAATTGTTCAACCAGAAATGTCATTACGTAATTAACTGCATGGGGTGTAAAGAACAATATATTGGACAAACGTAATATTTGCTAACAGGAAAAGGAAATCAAATCTACTCTTATTCCCTCTTATAAAATGTCTACAAAAACGAACTCTAAAAGAATAATATTGTATTAATATATTCAATCGTGCTTTAATAGAATTTATATATTGCAACAAAAGCGCAGTATTGGTGCCCCAAAAGCTGCACATTCTAGCATGGCGACGTGAAATACTCGAATTTGATTGGACAATCACCAACTCAGACACTATCAATTGGGATTGAGAAAAATGCGACTGATTTTATGACCGCTTTGCTGCGCACTTATCAGGTGTCGTCGAATCAGACGATGTTTGGATAAAGTTTATCATAAGAACCCATTCGGAATCCACCAACAGACATCCAGGGGGTCAGGCAAAACCCGAATTTATGCCACTCATACTCCCTCGTGCCCCGTTCAAAAATACATGTCAAAATTGAACCATCTGAATCCTGCTTTCTACAAGTATCACCAGCAAAACCGTCACTGCTGGTGACCCTTGCAAGTACAATTTAAAACCACTTGGCCACAATCCTCTGTCCAAAATCATGAAAACCATTTCCAAGGAATCCAAAGTTAGTCGCATTTGCGTAAGAACCACCACTCTCACTCTTTTGTCGCATGTCGGGGTAGAGGCACGTGAAATCATCAAACTCACTGGTCATTAAAATCAACAGCCCTCGATAAGTCACAACACTGACTCGTCGGCCGATCAGAAAATAGTACTATTCTTCGATTATGCAGGGTTCAGATTCGACAGACAGTCAAGTATCCTCCACTGTCACCTTAAATTTCAATCTTGCACAAAATGTACAATCTGGCACGTCCGCCTCTTTCTAAACTTCAAATTGTTGCGCAACTGTTAACAACTACTTCCAAGTACATTAGTCGATGCTTTGGTTTACGACCCTACGACTCCGACCACCCCTTTCAAAGGCGAGTTCAATTCGCAGCTCGGGCCATGTCGGACTACACACTGTCGTCCGCCAACAAAGGAGTTCGATTTTAATGGAGATAAACCTACTGAGCTTAACATAAGATTCATGTTAGACCGAATAGCTTAGACCAAATAAATTGATAGTCTAAAGATTAATCATTTGAAACCGAACGCGTATCAATTCGGTCTAACATTAATCTAATTTTCAAATTCATAACGTTTACCTCCTAAATATACCTGCGTCTCTCCCCCCCCCCCCCCCCCCCCCCCCCCCTATTGATGTCGTCATAATGTAACTGTCAAAATGTCTGGTACATGACGTCATAAACAATGTCACTGCAATCGCCTTGATGCTACGAAGGAAACATTTCGGCGGGGGAAGTACTCGGCGTTGTGCTTTGATCTAAATTGTGAATTGGACTGTACACTCGAACTAAAAGTACTTTTATTTAAGAAATAAACGACGAGTATGCGTTATTGTACGATAAACAACGACCCCAAGTCGTTTATATCATGTATGAGATGTCAAACGTATGCACATAGAACAATGTTTTATCGCGAATCATAAGATAGCTACGTGATAAATCGCAGAGAACAATGAAGAAGGAAGCGTGATTTATTTCACAATAAAACATTGTTCTGTCATGACGTCATTTCTGGAGATTCGAACATACGCTCGCAACTTGATGACGTCGTAAATTGGGCGTCCATTTTTTTGCGAGGGAAGTGTATACTGAGTTGTCCCCATAGATGTAGCTTGGCAACGTAGATAAACAATGGTCGAGCGATCGCATTCAAACGTTGGAGAGATATGACAATTGGTATTTTGAGAAAAGGAACAGATAATCGACGTGAAAATTGTGAGAATCTCGGAATAATACGAACGTAAGTCGGAGGTCGGATACTATTCAGGGATTCATCATTATTTAAACAAGGGTAAAACGAATTAAATCATGTACGTTTTATTAAGATCCGACAAAATGTTGATGTCTTATAAAAGACCCGCCTTATGTTATCGTTTATATGTGTAAAATATGTACCGAAACTTCTCACTCCTACCCGCACACCGATGCCGAGAATAGGGCCGGATTAACCCTCTGGATGCCGATAATAGGGCCGGATTAACCCTCTGGATGCCGAGAATAGGGCCGGATTGATATTCAATCCACGTATCATGACAAACTGAGGCACGTAATCGTAAACAACCCACCTTCCGCGGAAGGAGGTTCTTCCTCAATATACCGGAAGTTAATAGTAAAGAACATATGCATGACCTGATCTTTGCCTCTTCACTGACATCTTGACAGACATAAACTAAGTAAGTTCAAATCAAGCTTTTCGTAGATTGCCATAACTCACTATCAATACGACATCACATTGTTTTACTCAATATAATATGTTCTTGAATGGTGTAACTGGTTTATATTATGTAAATTCAGCGCGATTCCATACCTGCACCAGATTCCCCTCCTCCTTGTAGATGGCGTGGAACATCATCACCACGAATGGGATGCCGGGGATGGAGGCCAAGCACCATCCAATGGTAACAGCGTAGTCGGGGTAAACATACCTCCCATAGGTCGGAGGCTGGTACTGGACCAGGGTGAAAATGAACGTTATCTGGAACGCCAAATCAAAAAGGCTATTTCACTAATAAGTTCTTCGACGTGGAGAGAAATGAAAGGATCGTTGTTTATAAGACACGGGACAGCAGAAAACCAATGAGAGAGAGAGAGAGAGAGATAGAGAGAGAGAGAGAGAGAGAGAGAGAGAGAGAGAGAGAGATAGAGAGAGAGAGAGAGAGAGAGAGAGAGATAGAGAGAGAATAAAGAGAGAGAGAGAGAGAGAGAGAGAGTTGCTTTGGTTTACGATCCTACCAGGAGCATGGCAGGTGTGATGTAGCACCAGGTTATCTTGAAGAAGAACGGAACCGGTCTCCCGAGCATCAGTTCTATGTCTGCACTGACACGATTCACTCCTGAAATCAAGAAATAAAGAAACACATGTGGATAAAAAGAGATTATTAAATAGTTTGCAAAAAAGTGGACGAGGGTTCACTGATTCTTAACATCACTTTAAATTTCATCACTTTGCCAGTCTCGATTCCTATTATCACTTTGCCAGTCTCGATTCCTATCATCACTTTGTCAGTCTCGATTCCTATTATCACTTTGTCAGTCTCGATTCCTATTATCACTTTGCCAGTCTCGATTCCTATTATCACTTTGCTAGTCTCGATTCCTGTTATCACTTTGCCAGTCTCGATTCCTATGATCACTTTGCCAGTCTCGATTCCTATCATCACTTTGACAGTCTCGATTCCTATTATCACTTCGCCAGTCTCGATTCCTATTATCACTTTGCCAGTCTCGAATCCTATTATCACTTCGCCAGTCTCGATTCCTATTATCACTTTGCCAGTCTCGATTCCTATCATCACTTTGACAGTCTCGATTCCTATTATCACTTTGCCAATCTCGATTCCTATTATCACTTTGCCAGTCTCGATTCCTATTATCACTTTGCCAGTCTCGATTCCTATTATCACTTTGCCAGTCTCGATTCTTATTATCACTTTGCCAGTCTCGATTCCTATTATCACTTTGCCAGTCTCGATTCCTATTATCACTTTGCCAGTCTCGATTCCTGTTATCACTTTGCCAATCTCGATTCCTATTATCACTTTGTCAGTCTCAATTCCAATTATCACTTTGCCAGTCTCGATTCCTATTATCACTTTGCCAGTCTCGATTCCTTTTATCACTTTGCCAGTCTCGATTCCTTTTATCACTTTGCCAGGTTCGATTCCTATTATCACTTTGCCAGTCTCGATTTCTATTATCACTTTGACAGTCTCGATTCCTATTATCACTTTGCCAGTCTCGATTCCTATTATCACTTTGTCAGTCTCGATTCCTATTATCACTTTGTCAGTCTCAATTGCAATTATCACTTTGCCAGTCTCGATTCCTATTATCGCTTTGCCAGTCTCGATTCCTATTATCACTTTGCCAGTCTCGATTCCTATTATCACTTTGCCAGTCTGGAATACTATAACCATGTCCGACCGAGTTGTTGATCACCTGCTTCATGAACGGAGGAGCGTCCAAACCCAAATGTCGAATTGAAAGTAAAAAGAAGTCAGCTCTGTTTTAAGTAAACATTTTGACAACTTTGAGTTAACTTGATCAGTAAATAATCATGGTGCTTAATATAACAGTCGGTCAAATGACACGAAACAATCCAATGTTTTATTATGAAGCACTATTGACATACAATGAAGTGATCTGGTGTCTCTCATCCGCTATCACTCATAAACCAGCACATACCACATAGCTAGGTGTTTCAGATTAATGTTTATTTTTATTATGGAAGGAGTTTTGTAGAGTTTATTTACAACCTGGTTCCAGCAAAGACGCGGCAACGATGTCATACATCACGACGTCCACCAAGACGGGATAGCCACCTGTTCTATTGGTTGTTATCAGCTGTCTCAGTCATCATCAACATGATAATATCAATATTACTTCACGTACCATATACCCATCCGAAAATGATGCACTCGATAAATCCGTAGAAGATCAGGAATATGACAACAAAGTACCAGTCGACCAATTGGAAAATATACATTCCACCCTGAAATGATAGAGACCATGTTAAAAAGACAGAGCCTCAGTTAAGCTTTCAAAATGTTTTATGGAAGGCATGAGGAGGACATTTCGAAATTTTCGTATCAGTCACAAAAAGTATTACCGACGTAATTCCCTATTTGGACTTCTACCATATGTTCTCGGGTTATTTTCAGGTGATGTCATCACTATTTGATAGTGATTCAAAAACACATGCTCGTGATATAGTCGGAATCGTACAGTCGACTCTGCTTTTGGTGAGGTGAAATGGGGTTTAACGTCGCGTCCAAGATTATTGCACTTACATAGCGACGTGCATGTACGTGTGTGTGTTTGTGTGGCTGCTTGTACTAGTCCGGACTGATGCCGATTTATAGTGCTAGCTCACTGAGATACCATGCCGCAGTTTAACATCAATACCCACTCAGACTCAGTATACTGACTCCGAGCTGACCAGTCCTTGTTTCAGCCCCTTATGGCGAGCGCCAGACAGGGTAACAACAAGTACCATCTTTTAACGTCTTTAGGTATGACGGACCTTCCGGGCGGACGCTCTACCACTAGACCACGGAGGCGGTCCTCGGCTTTTTGAAGACATGTATTATTGATATGGAAAGGTTTTGTCGATTTTATTTACAAGATGTATTTATTCACTGAAACGACATTGTCCTCACTGCTTTATGGTTTATTTGTTTGTTTGTTGTTTAACGCCCCACTCAGCAATATCCAAGCTCCAGTGATCCAGTGATTGATATTGTGAGCAACGATCCACGCCGTCGGAGTGTGAGGACAGGCTGTCAACTATGTTATCACAGACTTACCGCGGGATTCTCTTGGTTACACCTTACGTCCAGCATTGGTTGCTGGGGATTATTTCTAACCCGGCACCCCAACAAGGGCCTAATAACCGTTATTATAAGTACACATGATACAACATAATTATATAAACGCTGAATGTGCTAACCTCAGTGGTGAATATTAGCCCCAGCAGAAAGGACACAAGGCAATATCCAAGAGTAACAGGGACTCGCCATTTCAGCAGAGAGGGGTACTCATCCAATATGGCCGACGTCACCGTTTCAACTAATGAAAACTAACAAACCACAGAAACACATATTGGAAAGAATTCAGTTCAAAGTTATCACTAACACTGACATATTAATGTACTTTCATATTATGATGAATGCCTGGTCAATCAGAGTTTTTAAATCACAAATAATTACCTCTATTTGTAACAGCTGATTTGATCCTGGCGAAAGCTAATTTAGATGAGAGTTTTATTTTTCAATCATTGAGAAATTCATTACATCTACAGGTAACTAGCTCTACACTGATAACGTGGACTGTTTACCTCCTTATTTGCCTCCACCTTCTGAATACATACTTGAATTGTTATGTTTAAGTATCTGTCAATGTCTTGTGTGATCATAATCTCAAAACAATAATAAACACTGGAGTAGAATCTGTTTTATAAGCGTTACTCAAAAAAGGGTTTCTCACCAACGAATCCATGGCCAACAGAATCAACATAATAAAGAAGACGAAACTCCACAGCTGCGGAAGCGGAAGTTGCGCCAGGGCTTCTGGGTAAATCACAAAGCCAAGTCCTGGCCCTGGATCATAAAAAACGGAGAATGACTACATTAAATGAACTCGAAATTCACAATCAACTTTCTGTCAGTAAGTTTATGCTGAAAAATAACAATATATTATGGCACGTGTAGTGTTTTGATCTAACGTAACAGCATTCTTCATGCAGGCAAAGGCAACCTAGACGGAATCCCAGAATCTTAGACTCGTATCGATAAGGATCAGGGAAGTGTGCGCATCCATGCTCGTGGATTTCACCAACGTGGTCAACTGATTTGCTTCACGTTGTGCTTTCCGCTATGATAAAACAGACACACCGTAAAGAGTAATGTTAAAACAACCCTCTTTTACTCAGGATAATTAGTGATACCTTTTATCACCTTATACGTTTAAAAATATATTTAACAAACTATTTGCTCATTATTTAATGGGGCGATCGGGTAGCCTAGTTGTTAAAGCGTTCGCTCGTCACGCCGAAGACCCGGGTTCGATTCCCGACATGGCTACAATTTGTGAAGCCCATTTCTGGTGTCCCCCGCCGTGATATTGCTGGAATATTGCTAACAGCGGCGTAAAACCAAACTCACTCACTCACTCATTATTTCAATGTGAAGTGAATTACCACATACCTGAGGACACCACATCACTGATGGGGATGTTAGCCTCATGAGCCATGAATCCAAGTATTGAGAAGATGACCAGGCCTGCGAAGAGGCTTGTTCCCTCGCTGACGAATGTACAGATGATGGCATTCCTACAGAGGAACACACAATATTCCAAATTATACTGAGAAAAGTAATGATAATTTGTGCAAGTCAGTATAAGACGACGACATTCCAAGCTAAACTGAGGGGCAAAAGAAAGTATACCGAGTTTGTTTTTATGTGATTGACAATTTAAGGGTCTGTTGTTAAATGTGATTATGTCAATTGAATCATCACTCTTTCCCGCAACAGTTTTAAAAAAAAAAATCTGTGACTGGGTAATTGTGTGTAAGAAAAAATTGGTTCAAGGAAGACTGGGGTAAAAAGTGAATTTGCAACCACATGACCCCTACCATCTTTGAAATGTTGTAAAGTTGTGCCAAAATTTGTTATTAATTTGCCATATCTCACATATCAATCAGCAGTTGAGTTTTATGCGAATTATTCTTGTAATTCAAATTCTATTTTGTTTTTAATATATCATGCACACGTATCATTTGAATGCTGACTAAGCGTCAGGACAGTTTATGTTTTTAAAATAATAATAAAGATATTTTACAAATTACAAATATGATAAAATCAACTGAGAGGTATAGTTTCTTTTATTCCTCAGTATATATTGTATTAATACAAAAGCCATTAATGCTATGGCGTTTTTCAAAGCGTACACATTTTTTTAAATACATGTAAAAATGTATATAAACTGGAATATATGGGTATCTCTATCAAATCCTGTGACGAACATGACAGGTAAAACCATCATGTCCCACAGGTGTTGGCACAGTTGATGGACGGTTCTTGTAAACACTGCAACTGGTGGTGGTAAACATGTGCAATATTTCTACAATTCACTAGTGAAAGCCAAAATCAAAACTACCATGTAGCAGCTTGGTGCGAACATATCCAGTCACATTAATAATAATATTTATATCATTTTATGTCGATCGAAAATGTCCAAAATATAATTTTGAAAACCTATGAAGACAAAGGGTAATACTTGAAACATACACTGGAGTTGGGGATAAGGTATTAATGCCTTTTGTAAAATAAACAACTATGTCATTATGCTCAACTCATGCTTAAAACATCAATAGGCATACTACATGGACAAGGATAGGTTGTAAGTTAAGGCTGGTGTGGCGATCATGTCATGTTACCTCGGCTTGACATGGAGAGCCAGGAATCAGCTGGACGCTTCACACACAAACGGCCGCTTTGCTTGTAGAAACATATTTAAAATTCATGAAGCATTTAGAACAAGCAAACACTTGTATTAACATATACAAGTCAAAAGAAGTTAAAGAACACCCGATGTTTTCATATGACTGTAGTTAATCTGTCACGGCCAGACAGATAAAGTAAAGCCTTTGGAAAAAAACCGGATGTTTTTCAACTAACTATGGATGGTATATATAGTAAGGATGTAACGATGTACAATACGCTTTACCTACTTGTGGGTGGAATATATAGTAAGGATTTAACGATGTACAATATGCTATACCTGCTTGTGAGTTGAATATATAGTAAGGATGTAACGTTGTACAATACGCTATACCTACTTGTGAGTGGAATATATAGTAAGGATGTAACGATGTACAATACGCTTTACCTACTTGTGAGTGGAATATATAGTAAGGATGTAACGATGTACAATACGCTTTACCTACTTGTGAGTGGAATATATAGTAAGGATGTAACGATGTACAATACGCTTTACCTACTTGTGAGTGGAATATATAGTAAGGATGTAACGATGTACAATATGCTATACCTACTTGTGAGTGGAATATATAGTGAGGATGTAACGATGTACAATACGCTTTACCTGCTTGTGAGTGGAATATATAGTAAGGATGTAACGATGTACAATACGCTTTACCTACTTGTGAGTTGAATATATAGTAAGGATGTAACGATGTACAATACGCTGTCATGCAGAACCAAAATCCACTTTCTGTACAAAGTTTAAGATAGGATTGATAGAAGTGTTTACGTCACTTCTCGAAATGAAGCTATGGTGGCGAATATATCCAGGGTAGATATCAAAAGACAAAAGGGATATTTTATACACCAGATAATGGAGGTTGGGGAGCGGGGTTGGTGACTTATGTTTTGCATCCAATCAACATACATCGTTTCACTACAAATAACTAATACCCTAGCCACTGACGGATGTGGTGAATCAACTACATGCTGTTCAACAAGGGAAAGGTCCTTGGCACAATTCACTGAGGATGGTGAGTGCTTGCTGTTAGATGTTTTACAAGAATCCGTCAATAAACAGGCCACATCATCTCATAACATAACACGATGAGATAACAGTAAAGATTCGATCATAAATAAAACAACCGAACTTGAAATCGGATGGAGAAAATGACTACATGTGTTAAGAGATCTCCGTCTGGTGGCAATAATGAATTGGCGTCACAGTAGGCTATACTGATAACTCCCAGTGGTCGTTTGGCCAGAGTAGAAACTCTATGATATGCCGAGCTGCCTTTCTCTTGTGAGAAAACGTTCAGCATTATGCAGATGCCTCTGACAAGCTTTTGACTACTGGTCCACATGGGAAAACGTATTGTATATCAAATCATTTGCACGATGTGGTTACGATGTAACTGATTTTTGTGAGTGTCCCGTTCGCTAAAGACAAGGACGTATCTTGAGCCCGATATTGTTCTCATTATTTATTAGTGAATTGTATTATGAACTTACGACTACCAGTTAGCATGTTATTCAAATGTTCCCAGATGTACTAGAAACTTTGATGCTCCTTTTTGCCGATGATGTAATATGAGTATGAGACTGTTACACCAATGAATTGCAGTTATGAGCTAACTACGATAAAATAAATATCGTGTTTTCGAAAGTATATGTGTGTATGTTCTGAATCATTATACTTATCTTGGTGTATTGTTTACCAATACAATGCATTTGAAGAAAGGTGTTTCAGATTTAACATCACGTGCAAAGTAGGCCTTAGTTAATGTTATGTCTGTTTCGCAGAAAGTTGGGTCTTTTACCCCGAATATATATTTTTTACATATTTGATGCTCAAACCTTGTTTTATAGATCATAAGTATGGGGATTTCAGTGATAAGATTGTCTCGAAAAGCTAAATGTTTAGGCCTGAAAAAAATCGGTCGCCCCATCAACACCAAATTGTATGTTCTATGGCGAGTGTGACAGATACCCGTTATACATCAACTCCCAAATTAGATTTTTTAAATACTGGTTAAATGTACTTGAAAAGCATGGATGCCGAATCCCCAAATTTGCTTATAATATGTTTGTGCATTTTGATGACTTGGGCAAAGTAACATGGGCATCACATATTAGAAACATTTCGTTTTCTCATGGCAACGGCTTTGTATGAATAAACCAAACAGTTGGTGATGTTAAACTCTTTTTGAAACAATTTCATGAATCTATACTGAGTCGCAAAAGAAACGTCACCATGTATAGATTATATGAGAAACCTTAGTTGTCCAAACACTGTAAACATACTTTGAGACATATTAAAAAGATGAAACTTGGCAAAACTGATCATCAAGGTTGAAATTAAAGTCTCAAATGTTCTTAAAGTGAAACACAACTCTAGTCTCTGAGAAAATGGCATCACAAGTCAGTATCTCGTGTGTCTGACATGTGCATTGATAACTGCCGTGCAACGTCGATTCATGGAATGGATGAGGCGGTTTTATGAAGAACATAGGCACTTGAGCCCACACTCTGAGGAACGCCTGACGCAGTTCAGCTTCAGTTGTCGGCCTGGGTCGGACGCCATTCAGCCGTCTTTGAATATCGTCCCACAGGTGCTCAATGGGATTTAAATCGGGACTGAGGGCAGGCCACTGCATGGTTCTGATGCCATTCTGTGGAAGTCTGTTGTTGCTCTCGCAGTGACTCATGGTTGCGGCGACGTGTCAAAGGAGGTATGGCGTGTGGTCTCAAGACTTGATCAATGTACCGAGCTGCTGTGACACCATTGCCTTTCCTTGGACCGATGTTCTGGAAGACCACATGGCCGACCCTCTGTGCAAATCCAAATCGACCCCACACCATGACGCTCGGACCACCCCATGAGTCTCTCTTTACAACACAAGCATCCGAATAACGTTTCCCACGGCGTTGCTATACTCTCTCTCTCTCTCTCTCTCTCTCTCTCTCTCTCTCTCTCTCTCTCTCTCTGCCATCTGCTGTTGAGATACAGTAACGGCTCTCGTCTGAGAAGAGGACTCTTCTCCACTGCTAGCTGGTGGCGCCAATGCTGGTGAAGATGGTCCCGCCGATGACTTGGTGGTAGAATGGGTTCTCTGTGTGGCCTGGCACGGTGTCCGCACTGATGTGTCGCTGGTGTGTCCCCGTGGTCTGTCGAGCAGTTTCCACAGCAGTGACAAAGCGATCTTTAAGATGCTGTCGCACAATCTAACGATCCTGACATTGGGTGGTGACCCTTGGTCTTCCACTACGTGGTCGGTCATCTGTAGTGTTGGTGGTCTGGTAACGTTGCTGGAGCCTGTATATGGTCCTTACGTGGACTTGGCTACTTGCCGGGCGGTTTGTCCAGCTTGCAATCGATGTCACTGATTTCTTGTCAATCTTAGCATGTCGTAGGAATTCAATAACGAATTAATGTTATTCGATCTGGGTTGATTTTTATAGGGCAAGAAATTGGGGAACGCATGTTCATTTCAATTTGCACGGAACTCACGTGCATCGGGTTACCATGGCCGTTGCCGTGATGCGTTTGGGCGATCGGTTTTATTGTCATCTGCTTTCGGTTTTTTATCATCAAATTTCATTTTTCAGGTCAAGGTAATGTTACATTTTAGAAACCTTTACAAAAATTACCCAGATATTTAAATGACAACTTTTCATGCAATGTTACTTGGGATGACGTTTCTTTTGCGGTTCAGTATATAAGTATGTTTATCAAGAATGGCATTCCGCACTAGACAATGGTTCAATGTACGACTTGTATAGAACTTTCAAGAGTATTTTTATCCAGAAAAATACTTATCTATATTAACATCAAAAACCCATTGAC